TGGCAGGAAGGTTGGGTACCGCGGGGAATCAAACTCCGTACCTCTGGTTTCCAGGGCGTGCAGTTAACGCAGACGTGCCAATCACAACACTATCAGCACGCCCAGCGTTTCTCTTCACAGCCGATGCCTCAAATAAGCGTCTAACACATCTCAAGCTGTGTGCATACGGTAAGTTCTACTGGTGTCGTCATCAAGACTTGTCACAAAATGTCAAACGTTCTCCCAATTCATTCGAATTTGGACCAATTTCTGCGAAATCTCTGCGGTGTGTAGGGTAACCATCCTGGCCCAGGGAGGGAGAGTATGGAGAGCGGATGAAGCCACGGCCCCCTGGCCCTCAGTCATAGCCCTTGGTCCCCAGACCCTCAGTTACCTCCTTGCACACAGGCCTATTCAATTTCCTGTCTTGGGAGCACACGCCACATAAGGGTGAGGGGTCCCTTCAGACCAGACTTCCGTCAGGCTCATCCATACATCATGCGAGTCGCATTCCGAGGGAACTGCTCACATGTCTCCGGTCGGTAAATAATAGGAAGCAGGTCATATGGTTTTCCTCGCGAGGTTTCCGCGAACTGTTCTAACGTGCTTTGTTGGGCTCTGGGGGAGGGCTCGAGCCGCTTCGACGCTCGGTGGTTGCTCCCGACTGGGACGGTCTACGGTCTATAGCAGCGGCCCTTCTAGAGCAGACGACGCGGTTAGAGAGCGCGACGAACCGTACTGAACATTGCAGCATTTTAAACTTCCGCTGGAAAACCACGCCTTTAAACTTAATAGCACGATCGGATGTTGAGTCAGGGATCACACAGCAAGCACTACTTAGCGTGATCTGTGATCTCAGAAATTCATCCACGGGCCAAATCCCTAAAAAGAGGCCATCGCTCGGCGGCGTAGCTCACTGGTCGGCCGGAAGCAGCGGAGAGCGCGCGCCGGCGCCGGCCGTCAGCATCTGGTGCCGGCCGAGGGGCCGAGCCGGACGCGGAGCCCCGCTATCAGCAGCACTGACGGCGGAAGTGGCCGGAGGGCCGGGCGCCGCGGGCGGCGGAGTCCATCACGGCTGGAGGTCTCACCGGGGGTGTCGGGAGGGGGACCGTGGGCTTCATGTTCACTTTGTCAAACTTGGGCAACGCCCCAAGGCTGACAAAGTAGACATGAGGCCCACCGTGAACATTAGGTAAATGGCACCCCCTCCCCCTTTAAAAACCTGGACCCCGCGCTGCTCTGAAGGGGACGTCCGGTGTTGACGTCCAGTGTGTGCTCCAGAGCCAAGGTCCGCACGCTCGGTCTGGCCACATCGCGTTGCCTATTGTATTATTTCCAGCGGGCACGGGCGTGTGCAGCTGCTGTAGAGAATCGAGACAATTTAATCGTCTCGAATCGCTGCCTAAATCGCGGCGATTTAGGCGGCCGGTCTCTCCGGTATTAGAACACAATCCTAGCACATCCCATCCTCTCTGGCCTAAATTACCCTCGAACCCCCATTAAAAATGCAGCGTTCAAAGCCCCAGCCTTCTGATGACGATGTTACGCTATGCGGTAGGCGCATAATGATGTTTGTACAATTAATCGGCTACCGACGACGCTAAAGCAAAACTAATAATCGTCCTACACGGCCCACGCACAGCCCGGCAGAACAGATCCCACATTGATATCATGACCTTACAGCTTCAGATACCCTACTCATGGATCAACCGACGGCGTCTGTCTCTGGTCCGTGAACACTTCGAGTGCGAGACTGCTCCGAAGACGGCACGGAACACGATAGTGTTTCCATCACCCATTTACACTGACAGCGAAGCGGCCAGCGTCTGACATGGTCAGCATCCGACGCTCCCGGGATCGGGGGAAGCGGCCAGCATCTGGCACAGTCTGCGAAGCGAAGCGGCCAGCGTCTGGCACGGTCAGCATCCGACGCTCCCGGGATCGAGGGAAGCGGCCAGCATCTGGCACAGTCTGCGAAGCGGAGCGGCCAGCGTCTGGCACGGTCAGCATCCGACGCTCCCGGATCTGGAGGATCCATAAATATATTTGCTATGAAGTTAAGTTTTCCGGGTCGCTTTGGGGCGAAAAAGCGGCAGTTTAGCTCACGTCAGCGCAGGGGACCGAATCAATGTCACTCTCATTTTCACCAGGTGTGTGTGGCGCCAACAGAATCGCGCGCGCCGACCTGAGCCCAGGAGACCCTCCGAGCGGCGCACCCGGACTACCAGCAGCGTGAAAACCCTGAGCTCCAAGTGTGGCGGTGCTGTCTACAGCTTTAGTCAGTTTGCGCGTGTGTAATTAAATCAAAGTCAATGAAGGAATTAGGCCAAGAGCAAAAACTGTTCTCGCACGGTCCACCAGAAACTTAGAGATACCGTGGAAAGCCACTGCGATGATGGACAAAACGATGTTTGTGTTCTAACAGAATGTGATAAATATGTGTCTAAAGCCACCTTTCTGGGTTAAAACGCTTGTAAAAGTACTGGCGTACCCGTGTGAGATTTTTCTACAAGCTTTTACTTTCGTTCGTCGTATTCGTTTTGTGCACTTGGTAGCTCCTGGAATCTGGCATCTGAGTTCAGCTCCGCTACCAGTAGATAGGACGGTGCTGTTAGTCTCATTCCCCGTTGAATATCCAGTAAAAGAAGAGATAGACGTTTTGATATTTTGGCGGTACGCCTTGTCGAAACGAAGATCCGTAGTAAATTCAACACTGCCCACCGCTTTCACGCGATTTTTCATTTCTTTAAACAGTAAGCCACATGTTTTACAAGTCACAAACATTAAGGGAATTAAACAAGGAACAATGGGCGATCATGTCTTCGATGCAGTGTATACCCAACTAGGAATTAAAATATGCGAAAATGTACACCCAAATGATTTCAAATAAACGTACCAAAAACTCGTAGGCACGTCACACATATGCAAGCGCATCTTATTTAATCCAGGAAAGATACGATCGACTCAAATAAGCGCGAACGCTGTCGTTCTAAAAAGGCCTTCGTTTGAAAGGTTTCTGCGGTTACCTCGTTCAATAAAACCTTAGCAAAATTAGTAGAACGACTTAATACTTTATGATTTTGGGGAAAATATTGTCAAAGGCTTCAGCAACTCTTCAAAAAGCCACAGAACAAAGCTTTCCTTCCGGCACGCAACTAAAATTTAAATGCGTAGTTGACTTCCAGTTTTTTCTGGGTTCTTGAGACTCTCAGCTGCTACATTCTGACTGCCACTATTCGGTTCAAACTTACGTAGGAGAAGGGAGAGACAGATGAGTTGATAAAAATTGAGCGGGATTGACAGGCAATTTTGAATTTGCTATTGATGTTCGTTTCGATGAAGGCATGTAGCCGAAATATCAATCCATCTTTCTCTCTTCTCTTCTGATAATTCTACAAAGAATAACGCCGGCAGTATTGCCTTGTCTGCGTGCACAATGTTCCTAGCAAATGTATTTAACAGCTACGCAACTCCGCTGCAATTTTCCGGGGCCACACAGAGCAACGAGCGCCCACTTTCCCCCTCGAAGACCTCTCGTCAACGATTCGAGAGCTCTTTTTGATGCCGAGTGGCAATTACGAGATTATGGGGATCAATTTAACGTCTTAGCCCCTCCTCCAAGCTCGTGCAGCTTTCCTGTCGCGGAGAATTCTTTTAGGCTCGAGTTGAATCTTAGAATGGCGTTATAAACGGCGTTGGCAAGCATAACCTCGAAAGTCTTTCTCAGAAACGCGCCTCGATGGGGCTCCTTCGCCCCCCCCCCCCCGCGCCCCCACGCAGGACCCAGTTTGAATATGGGACATGATACATGAAACATGGGGCGTGTGGCATGGGGCACGAGGCAAGAGGCATGTGACATGGGACATAGGGCATGGGGGGTGTAACATTGAGCGTGGGACATTGAGCGTGGGACATTGGGCACGTGGCACTGGGCATGGGGCATGGGCATGAGGTATGAGGTATGGGGCATTGGGCAACGGGTGCATGCTCTCCGCACCAGCGCTCAGTGCTTCATAATCCCCTCCACCACCAGACCAGCCTGTTGGCAAAGGAAGCCATGCCCATGTCATTACCCGGCACCCCGCGGCGCCCGACACCACGCCCGCCGCGCGTTGACAAAGCAGCCTCTCTGGCGACGGCCGGCGAGTGCGGCTCTCCTGCGCAGCTGGATGGAGTCCCGCCGCGACCGGCTGACACCCGTGCTGCAACAGCCGTCCCTCGCGGCTCCCCGTCCAGAAACAAACTCCCCGGCCAGCGTTTAAACACGCTCGAACGGTCTCGCTGACGCTGAGGTGGGGGGGGGATGGGGAGGGGGACGGGGAGGGGGCGGGGAGGGGGACGGGGGTCACGTTTCGTGCCGTCATGCCACGCCACTGACGCACATCCAGACCGAAGCGCTCAGTTACCGCTACCGAGAGGTCAATCGGCGTCAGAGGTCACAAGCCAGCTCTGTGGCCTGGTGCCCACGGCTCCTGAGCACCGGCTAAACGAGCACCAGTCAACTCCAATAGATGTTAGCCAGCTCCGGGAGCCGTTAGCCAGCTGCGAGAGCCGTCAGCTGGCTCCAGGAGCCGTAGCCAGCTCCGGAAGCCCTTAGCCAGCTCCGAGAGCCGTTAGCCAGCTGCACGAGCCGTCAGCCAGCTCTTGAAACCGCACGTCAACGTCGGGAGCTGCCGGTCCGGCCCGGGAGCCGCCAGCTGACCTCAGGAGCCGGCAGCGAGCGCCAGGGTCAGTCAGCCCGTGCCGGGATGGCAGTGCTGCTCCCAGCCGGCTCCGGAACCTCCGGCCGGCGTCGGAAGCCAACAGTTGGGCCCGGGAGCCAACAGTTGGCTCCGGGAGCCGGCAGCGGCTCGGCAACGGCCGGCGTCATTAATCGATGCCAGGGCCGGGTTATCTTGGGGCGGCCCGCCCCCGGCCCGATCCGAGTCTGGGTCTCGGCGCCGCGCCCACCCTCGCGCCGCGCTCGCCGCACACGTCGCGCGCACTCGCGCGCGGCCCGCACCGCCGTGCACGGCACGCACCTGATGTGGGGTGGCAGCCCGCGCGGCTTCTCCGGCGGGGCGGCGAGTCGGGCCGCCAGGAAGGTCGGCGCGGTCTGGAGCGGCGGCGGCGGCGGCTCCGCGGCCGGCGCTGGCTGGCGCGCGCGGCCCCGCGCCGGGCCGCCTCTCACACGCGGCTGTCGCACAGCCCGCAGCACCGACCGACCGCGCGCCGTCGTCTCAAGACGTGTTGATCGCCGCCGCCGAGACGACTGACACAGGCGATCGATGGAGCGCAGCCCGACCAGCGTCGCCATGGCAACGCCGCCTGCCGGCCGACGCCGCGCCGCAGCGTTCGGCCGTCGCGCACTTCGCCGCTGCGCCTCAGCTGATCGGCCGCCAGCTGTTCCAACCCAGCAGCTGCCAGCTGCTTGGAAACCGTAGCTGCGCTGGAGCCCGTAGGACGTTCGCAGCAGAGCCGTTTGTGCGAGAAGCTGCCCTGAGTGTCTGTCTTGAGGATGCTGAAACGTCTCTGGTTCCACAGACATGGGAAACGACTCTATGACAATGCAAGTGTGAGTCATGTTTAGAATATCAGTGAGTTCTTGGGGGGTTCGATCGGCCGTTCTCCGGTAGCTGCTTAACACTTATCTAGGAGTTGCACAGAAAACTTGCCTTTGTTAGCTCTTCTTCATTCAACTTACTTTTATCGACGCCAACTAACGAAGATCTATCGGCGTTTTCCAATAACCTCATACTATTCGTACGCAATTGACAGCAGAGATCCGGGGCAATCACGGATGAGGAATGTCAACAAAGTGATGAGCTGAAACCGCCGGGGCATGCACCGTTCAATGGCATGATGCCAACTTTATCGCACTCCCAATGAAGGTTGTTGCGATCGCTGCCGCATCTGCCGCACTACACTCTCCAGCCGTGAAGGTGATGATACCGTACATTGGCTTGCAGCGGTGGTTCACTACATTGGGACGCCATTATGTACGTTGTACGTCCGTGAGGCTGGCGACTTATATGCGAGCCAGCTCGAAACGATGCAGATTTCACATGAAGTGGCCGTGGATCCACCATGGCCACGAGCTCGCGAATTCAAAACCGTGTTTAATATTTGTATTGTTATCACCTCTAGAAGCCCGATAAACATCAGACAAGACGTTATGACATGGAAGGGCAAAAAGTGAGCACTTGCTGGCCCAGAGACTTAACGTTGTTATAGAACAAACAAGAAACAAATCCAGTTTGAGCCAGCTCTCTAGAAGTCTGCTGACTTTCCGCAAAAACAGACATCCTGCACACCCAGATGTAACTCCAAATCACGTTCGCAGAAAATCTATAAAAACACCAATAAACCAATAAAAATACCAGAGTACAAACAGCTTCTCACACGAGTAAAAACACTCGTGTGAAAAGCTCGTTTTTAAATTTTGCGCAGTGCACACGGGTGAATGACGTCGTACGACAGAACTATCTGGCGAAGGATATAGTGGACTATTCCTCCCACTTTAAGTCCATTTTACTTTGATCCCAGTTTACGGATTTACTTCACATACTAAGCAGTATAAAATACCAAATAACTGGCTTATTACTAATCGTAAGAATCGTGACTGGCCACAGCATATTGCCATGAATGATATCAGTTTGGTACGCGGCGTTTTAAAGCGTCGTGCCATTTTAGACAAATCAGCTGAAATGGTCAGGAGGCACAACCACTCCTCTGCAACCAAATACGACACGCTACACGCCTCTTAGCTGGTTATGCAAAGTATACCTTTATCTGATAATTATGTTAGTTAAGTCTTGATCACCATTCGGTGTGTGTTGGTCAACAAATGATACTCCAGTTCAAATGAACTCCCCAAACGAAAATATTTTGATTGGTTAAGCTGCAAAGTATTTCTTTTGTCTTTGTTTTGTGGTTGATTGCACTTAGAGCTACATTGCAGAGGTTTCTGATAGATTTTACTCCAGGTGACAATTTAGACTGTCCCAAATTTCGGCGATGACAGAAAAAGCACCTTTTCACCTTTACCCGGTTCAATGGACACCTGTGGACGCGCGTACGTGAAAGCATGTATGCCACAAGAGCAATGCATCGTAGGTGAATACATGGGAATGTAATACAGTGCACCAAAAACTAACCAAAAACAAGAATGAATGCAAGAGCACAAAGTAACGCAATAGAATCGCGTGGCATATAAACAATATTCGTCCCAAGCTAGGTACCGAAACATCACCTCGAGACGTTGTTTGGGCATATTTCTTTATGTAAGCGACATTTGGAAATAGTTTGCTTGTCATTGCTTTGAACTATGACGGCCTTTATTACGTTACTTTCCGAATTAACATAACGTATGGTCCATCGAAAGCTATCGGCTAATCCGTGTGTATCTCGACCACACCTTAGCACGGCGCTGTGCTTCTGAGGCAATGCTGTGGATGCTTGGATATGTATTGCCTTTTGTTTCATCTGCTTACTCGTGACCGTGAAACACTGCATGAAATGTTGAAAAATTTCAGCATACACCTGCAACGGTACCTTCATGTTTTAAGGAATTCATAACGCCGGAAAAAACAGACGCTCGGTTCACTTATTTCTCATATGAAGCATGTTTATGTTCATGACAAACGAAACATCCTTCTTATTTTCACAGCTATCTCTCAGTACGAAGAAAGCGCTATAGCATTTACGTTGGTTTGTGCTGTTATTTTTATAGAATTTGGTCCAGCCGAGAGGAAGCAGAATATGCTGGTTTTTTTGGGTTGGAAAGGTTGGGGTGCCCCGAGATCACCAAGGTATGTCTGGCAACGCCGCCATAACGCCATCGCGGTAGTTCTTGGCAAGCTACAGCATTTTTTGCCGTATAGGAAAGTGTCTTTTTCAGAGGCAGTTTTGTAGCCCATAAAAATGGTACAGGCGGCTAAAACGCGTCCAGTAACAGGTGTGTGTGTGGGGGGGGGGGGTGTGGGGTGTGGGTGTGGGTGTGGGTGTGGGTGTGTTGCTATGTGTGATTGTGTTTGGGTGTGTGCAGTGTGTTTAACCTAGAGTTTCCCAACTAGTTGTGTGCCATTTAATCTGTAAAGTAAAGTGCCATCTGTAAAGTAAAGTGCCATCTGTAAAGTAAAGTAAAGTGCCATCTGTAAAGAGCAGATTGGGCACCTCCGGATGCTCGCCACCGAAGAGCGTTGGCAGGGTGCGCTGTACGCTCGCCCGCCGACAACAAGCTTGGAGATGGTGCCGGTGGCATTCAAACAGGGTGTGCTTTACGTTAAGTGGGGTGTGGCAAACCTTGCAGCTGGGCCGTGTCTGAGCGTCATTTTAGAGCTGGCGCTGTGAACCTGTTGCCGTCGGTTCTGAGTCCAGTAAGCAAGATCTTCTTGTAATGGAATTCTGGCCGCCAGCTGACCGTGTGGCGAGTGTTGGCTTCATGGGGTACATGTGGTCGGAGTCGCGCTGTGTCGAGAGTGTTTGCTGATAGGTTTTCGGGTGGTGGTGTAGAATAGCTTTTTAATCGTCCAGATACATTTTCGTGTCGAAGAAGGTCTCCAGTTCGAGGGCTTTTTACTTCATTAGCCTTTTCGTTGCCGCCTTTGTCTGCGTGCCCGGTATGCAAAGGAATGGAATGTGTTGCACCTTAGGGATCACCACTTTCTGAATGGCACCAACGATGTAGCGCTTTTGATCAGCTGTGTTACTGATTGATTGCAAAACCGACTTAGAGTGGGAGCAAATAATGACTTTAGTGCGTTTTGGTCACCAGACCCGCTTAACTGTAGTTAAAATGACCAAAGCTTCGACCGGAAAAATGGATGTTTTGTCCGAGAGACGATAACAAGGTGCAAAGCCTGCCTCGTTGAGTGTCATACCTACCATGTCGGTGCGTTTTGACTCGACCGTAAAAATGAACTGTTGGCGTGTGTGAAGTGCACAATGCTCCTTAAACGTGGCTTGAATTCCTGTGGGCGTTACGTCACGTATCTTTTCAGATTGAAGGAATTTTCGTTTGGAGCATCGTGCTGCCAGGACTTAGTCTCTGGAACTGGAGCTGTGTTTGGCAGCGCCAAATTGAGATTTGCGTGAGCCTTTTCAAGTTGCAAGTTAAAGGGCCGCTGTTTGAGCGCTGTTCGGCTCTTTTGAAGTCTGCCGTGTTTTAAGCAGGCGTTTGCCGGATTATCTCTGGTGTGCTGTGTCTTTGTTGAGCAGCGGCAAGCCGTTGCATCCGCCTCAATTTGGCACGTCGCCATGTGTGCGTCTGGTTCAAGGCTCGATGTGGGAGTGTTGCGTAGTGCCTGGCGGCGATCCTAATGCGTTTTGGATGCTTAATGCAATCCGTGCGTTTTGGATGCGGTCGATGCGTTTCCTGAGTTGGTGTATCACGGAGCCGTAAACGACTGCGTTGTACTCGATGAGGGGTCTTCTGACTGCTGTGTAGAGCTGAAGCATTGTTTGCGGTCGCCTCCACAGACCGTGCCATTGAGTGCACGGAGGATGTCCTTACGCTTTGCACACTTGGCGAAAATTCCCCTGATGTGAGTGTCGAATGGAAGTGTGTCGTCCAAGTGGACATCGAAGAATTTGAATATTTTAACCTACTTGGTAACCTTGCGGTTAATTTGAAGCAAGTGGCTGGTGTCAGACATTGCGCTAGGACGAGTACCTCGACGATGATATTGCTCTTGACCTTGAGCGCCGCGTGACCAATGGAGTGGCGGTATTTGCGTGACACTTCTATCACGTCATACATGCCTTGGTGGTCTTGGAAAAGCACGTATGAAACAGTTTGCGCAAGTTCGCGGGCGTCTAGCCCAGAAACCAGAGAGTTTTAAATCTTTGGAAGGGCAGGGCCGTTAACAGCACTTAATGATCTTCAAAATGACCATAACACCTCAAAACCCCAAGCAAAAGTGAAACATTCCCTTGTCCCGAATGGGCCTCAAGCTTGGCCATATAAAAAAAAATTAGCAAGTTCAACGATGTGACCGGTTTAAAAGTTGATAGCAGGAGTGGCAAAACTTGCCGACTTGGTGGATAACGTCGGTGACAAAATGTCCATTTTCACACGACGATTGGCGCCAAAAATACTGTCAGCCGACAGTTTACGTGACGGCCGCGACACAATCTTACAGCAAGCATTCCACAGCTTTAGATGGGTTTCAGTGGTAACGATGTCATCCCA